CCCCAAAACCCCAAAATCCCAAAACCCCAAAACCCCAAAACCCCAAAACCCCAAAACCCCTAGTTCATTGCAAAAGATTGAAATTACGAGTAATTATCTACTTCTGTCGATTGTTGATTTTTACCCGCTTGATGGCCCAGTCAGGCCCGAAGTCAAAGTAAAGTTTTTCATTCTTTACTTGCTTCTCTGGAGAATTTTTCTCCGTTTTTTCGTGTTCTCAGAACCACGTCTGGAACTTTGGTACATAATACCTATACAATAAGATAACAAATGGTCTCAAATTAGTAAAATTCTCAAAGTTCGAGCTGATGTACTTACCAATTCCTTCTGACCAACTCATCTGCAGCCAAAAGTTGCTTATAAGTGTTTTGCTGGTAATAAAAGATGAAGAACAGGGTGTTTTCTCCAAATTTATTTGCAAATTTCTCCACTGAAATCCCCGTATCCTCTTTGTTGCCCTTCATCAGTGTTTTGTCCATGGTTGCCAATTCCTCAGCATTCCTAGTAGATCTAGCGTCTTGGGGCCTCAAGGGTTCGGAGTCCTCCATTTTCCTTTCCATCTTCATTGCGTCATAACTTTGCTCGAGCATGTCGAGGACTGAAGAGGCTTCGTTAAATTTCTATTACATTAGGACTGTGCGGGAAGCTAGCCTCTGGGGGCATAGGCTGGGAGCTTACCTGCGGCTGGGGCTTTACGGTGAAGTTGAAACTGGGTTTTGGAGAAGCAGGCTTTTGAACAGGGGTGCTTGAGTCTTTGGACTTTTGACGCTTTTTACTACGAGATTTTGACTTTTGGGAAGAGGCCTGGGTGGGTTCGGAGGTGCCCAGGATCGAGCCTTTGTTGGAATCGGGATTTGTGGTGCCGCCTAAGATTGGGAAGTTTTGGTTGTCGACTTTAGGGGTGGGTTCGAGGGGTTTGGAGATTGAGTCATTTTTGCGGACCTTTTTGCGCTTGGAGGTCTCTTTTCCTGAGGGATTAAGAAAGGAAATGTTACCTGCTCTTGTGTTAGGTACGATAATAGGTCCTGGGTTTTTAAGTTGGTCTTCAAGGTCTATCATGGGATTCTAAATTTTATTTAAGATTTGTCATCATTATTTCCAAAATAAAAATTCTAAGCTCTTAAATTTTAAAATATCTGATCAAAATGAATCGTCTTACCTCTTGCTTCTCAGGCTCTTCAACTGGAGTAGCTGGTTGGTTAGTCTGATGTCTTTTGCCTTTATTTGCTTTCTTTGTGATTACTTCCTTCTCTTCTTCATCTTTATTAGCTGATTTCTTCAATTTATCTAACTTATCAGGATTTCATTTTCCTGCTTTGCTTTCAAATCGTGCTACGACCTCACTTGCCTCACTCTTTTGAATCTCCATTTCAAGTCCACCTTCAACAATCACCTGAATCTTATCTTTTTCCACCTATAATAACAGTTAGTTAAGTTCAAAAATTCAAAATTTATTAAGATACACTCCTTAAAAACCTTCCTAAATCCCTTGCTGCTTACCTTAGTGACTATGGCATTGGCCCACTTAGACATGAAGTCCATTACATCAATCGTGGTTCCCTCAGTAACTTCTTGGATATTAAAAGCTGTGCATTCACCAATCAATCCCTTACTCTTATCCTTGACTTCCTTCTTCTCTTTCTTCTTAGTCTGGCCTCCTAAATCATCATTAAACCTCTCATTCTGTAATTGGGTGAAACAATCAACACAAATCCCTCAAATCCTTACCTTTATCACCCTTCTTCTTCTCCTCCTCTTCCTTCCTCAACCTCTCCTGCCTCAACTCCTTCCTCGTCTTCGGCTTATCCGGATTCCCCGTATAAACCGGTGGTGCCACTTCCTCCACTTTCACCACCTCCTGGTCGTGCACTATAAAAATGACCCAAATTCCTACTGGTCTGCTTCTGTTCCTCAATCTTCTCATCTTCCAAATCCTGTTCTATCTCCTTCAGCATCTGGTGGTACTCGTCCTTCAGCCTATAAAATCCTTAAGAAAATACATACTCATCTCTTATGGCTTTGTTCCCTGGATGTAGAAGGAAAAAGTCCATGTCTTCACAGATGTTCTCGAGCTTGTCTACGTCAACTAGGTCTTTGTTTTTAAGAAGTTGTTCGAGGAGGTAGAGATGTTCTTCCATGTTTTGAATGTTGCCCTGCAGGCCTTTGATCATTTTACTAACACCCGGCTTCATCCTCTTCTTCTTAGGATACCCCGAAGTAGTTGCTAACTCCTCCTTCAAAATCTTCAACCTCGCTCCAAACCTAGTCCAATAATCCATCAAAAAGTCATCCCCTTCAACATCAACCAGCCCATTATCCTCCTCCTCCTCATCGCTTCAAAAGTATCCTTTCTTCTGATAATTCCTAATTTTCCTATCTTCCTCATCCAGTCTATCCCTAAGACTATATATCCTCTCTCTGTCTTCCTCAGGTCAATTATTGGACGGGTTCTTGAACACCTACACAAGTATTAGCCCTGCAAGCTCTGTGGGAAATCTATACTTACATCTTTAATTCTACTGATTTTGTTAATTTCTTTCTTAATGCTGTTGATGAATTTTTCCTTCTGACGAGGGTTTTCTTTCATTTTTCCGTAGAAGTTGTCGATAGCAGCGAAGGATTCTTCGGATATGTTCATCTTTTTGGTAAATTCTTGCCTGTTTTTCATGTTGGGGTTATGATGAAAAATATTATATAATGAATTCAGAGGTAGAGCTTATGTTTGGGGTTTTGGGGTTTTGGGGTTTTGGGGTTTTGGGG